GACCATGGGCTGATGACAGGCGTGCGTAATATCATGTAACGATACCGGGCTCCGGATATCGCAATGTGTCAAAAACGTCTAAACAATGTCAGGACCGGGGTCCTAGCCTCAGATTAAGGTCTAGCTTGTGCATGGGTGGTCTACCATGGGCTAGACAGAAGTCACACGGTGGAATTGAACAACATTAAACTGTTAACCAAACTCTGCCAATATGCTATATCCGCATACTATTTAAATTTGATTTTCTTTTTCAATTCACCTTTTTTTTCCAAATTATAATCCATTTGAATCCAGGACATATATCAGAAATGTTAACTTTAAATCATTATTAAAATATCAGTGTTTAAATGCTCTAAGTCGTCATTAATCAAGATTGACACAACAGACATGGTCGTGGTCCAGGAGAAATTCCACCCTCCGGTATGACGTAAGATATCCGTCACTCACACCCGATTTAAACTCCCGTCTCCCCACAATTACACACTCATTAATCACTGCTGAAAGTCACTGATATAATTTACAAAGATCCGGTTCAAGGAAATCCTATACTGCACACAAGTCACTTGCAGTGACAAAACGGCCGTCAACTATTCAAACAAGACCTTACATATTTAGTTCTTCTACAACACTTATTCCGTGTCCCGTTTTGATTTTTCCATTTACGTCCGATTTTTTTTAGCAAAGTACTATGAATTGAAATAAGGGAATTTCTTAGAATATTTCAAATTAGAATAAGTTTAATCATCCTATATAAGTAAGCAATAGATATCATCATTTATCCAACTTGGAACTTTAAGTATGGGGTTTGGATTTTATTTTATATAACCACTAAAAATAACTGTATTATTAATTGAAATCTAACACATTGTGCGAAACGGCTTAAAATATATGTTAAAACTTTCCATTTTGTAAGAAAACCCAGAAGAGCAACAAAAAAAGTTGTTCTGTTTGTTCCCTTTATTTATCTAAAATCACAAGGACAAGTGCTGTTTAATATTCGTTAAGTAGTAGTTCCGTTCTTCAGTGAAATGAAAGTTCTTAAAACTCGCACGATTTTAATCAGTTTTATTTTACATTTTCAAAAGTAGAAAGAAGTGAACAATTTTGTATAAATCAGTTTTGTGAGCAAATAAATTTCAGCTTGTGTATCTAAATAGTCGATTAAATCATAAATAAATTGTGTCGTTTAATTTACCAGAAAAAATGATAAAGAAACAGATTCGAAGACAAAAAAAACCCTGTTTTAAACAGGAAAAGGGAGAACAGCTATAATAAATTGTACAACGGAGAATCGAAAAGATAAGTAACAATGGCGAAATTGCTATTCAAAAGAAATGTCGTTAAAATTCATACTGTTATGATCAGTTTTTATTTTACATTTTTAAGAGTAGAAAAAAGTGAACAATTTTGTATGCATCAGATTTGTGAGCAAATAAATCATGGCTTGAATTAGTATCGAAATAATCAAGAAACAGATTCGAAGACAAAAAAAAAACCGTTTTAAACGGGAGAGTTGAACAGAACGTAAGCAGGTATAATAAAACGTACAGGGGATGCCCATTCAAAAGAAATACCGAAAAAACTTTTATGAACCAATCGAAACGCCTAATTTGCGGTAAGCACGGGGTAATTAAACAACAATGTCTACCTTATACAGGTAGCAGAAATAAAGGAAGTGTCAAGTTAAATCTCGTGATCGAACTTCATTAATTTAATTCCGTCCCTGCAGCACGTGACGTAGCGCACCTGCCCCTTAGTGTGTATACGTAGCTGGCACTTTCTCTGGTGGTGACATTTCAAATTAGTAACTGTTGGGTCACCGAGTAAAGTATTTTAACGACTTCAATTTGTCACCGCTAATGAGTGATATAATGGACTACGTAACGCCATAAGGTACTGTATGGGACTGTAAACTAGAGCCGGGTGGGCGTGTACGTGTGGACCATTCCATGTCTATAACGCTTATATCAAATTACAGTGTTAATGGGAAAACGGCAGCCTTCCTCATTTTCATAATGGTCTTGATTTCCGACTATTTGTCGATAGACAGTAGCCCTTTTTGTAACTCTCCTCATTTGGAGGTAATAAAGGAATACTACCAATACCGCCAATGTGTCTGATTCGTACTCATTTTAGAAGAGAGATTTGATTCTGTTTTGTATATTGTTAAAAAATAAAAATAAAAGACAATCTCTCAAAATTTATGTTTTGTTTTATAATCTTACCCAGTTTGATTTATAAGCTGACGTTCTTGCTTAAGGACGCGTGGAGTGTTAACAGAATGCTTAACTATAATGAGGTCACGCTTTTCGAGAACAAAACAAAAAAATCAATCAAATGAAACTTGAAACTGTTAATGTGTTCCTGGTATTCTGATGATAATAAATATATTTGAATTCAAAATTTCATTTTTGCGTGAATAGAATTGTAAGCGATATTTCCAGAGACGTTTGGGATGCGTTGGTCTATACATAGAGTAAGTATAAGATGTCTTAACCGGCCTCTGCCTAAAACGGATCCCTGTCTTTACCGACTTTGCTATTTAGCATCGGTATAAAATCAACGGTAACGTCCCCTTAATACAGTCAGTTAAAAATGTCAAGCCTCAGTGCCTCCTCGGGGATTCGGGCACTGTCTAGTCTAGTTATCATACCAGAATGTATTACTTTTCAGGGTTTATTAGCTCACATACATAAATTCATAATGTATAAAACCGGCAAAATACTTCGGTCCCAGTCAAGAAAAAGAAGTGTATCTTCCTTTTTTTGTAAATGTGTGCAAACAAATTATGTGTATAGTCTACTAATCGCCTGTTCATCTCGAAAAAAATGAGTTATATGAACGTCACCGAAAATCTTTTAATTTCTGTTTCTTTTGTATTTAAATGTTCCGTCCGGAACCCATGGAGATTTATAACTAACCCCCTTCCCCCCGNCTAGTTAGTTCCGGATATTTTTTCTCAATTTTGAAATTAAGCAATGTTTTTGCTTTTGAATAAACTCAAGTCAACAATGGGCCCTTTCCTGTGCGATACACTAAATATAAAGAACTAAAGCGTCCGTGAAGACACGGCTTTAGTGATGAATTTCACCGCAACACCCAACTTTGTCTCGTGTGAATAAACATTGCACATAACGCTAATACGTCTTTTGTTCCCACAAAAAAAATCTTTAAAAGTAAAATTACCACCCACCATCTGATTTATAAATGTATTCCTCCTCAGCACGAGATAAATGTATTAATTATGTTTTTTATCAACTTGTACGCCGATCAATGCCTGATTGAGTTAAGGGGGCTCCACACCTCTTCGTCCTCACAATAAAATCATCATGATATTACTATTATTAGACTATGATATTTGGTGATACACAGTCTTTAAAAAATGGTTGATGTTATATTTTATCATCATTAATTGTATTTTACAAATTATGTTGAGTTGAATTCAAAATAAAGTTAGCATGTGATCATTTTCATTTACTGTCGTACAGACAGACGCTTACACTTTCGGCCAGTATACCAGTCAGTATACATATGACTAACTTAACTCACTCACCCCTGAAATTTCATGATGAACTTTTCCAACCTTTTAATTGGTGGAGTTCATTATGTTTCCGCAGGGGTGAATATGTTTAACACTGGAACAAAATCAATTTCTCCATAAGGGTCAGTTTCAACCACGAATCCTAAAGGATACATATCGATATCGGAATTACGTCACAGGAAACACGGGTTTCCCTTAATATGTTTCCTTTTTTGGAACCTCTGTTAAATGAAATCGCGACTGGTTGATTGAACAATTGAATTCAATGCTGTTAGTCCTGACAGGTTGGCAGTATTGGTGTATATACCCTTCCCAGGCTTCCAGAAAATCGCGCTCTGTAATTTTACATTCTATAAAAAAAGTTAGCATTGACTTCAAATATAAATTAGATATTTAAACAATTAGATATGGGAAATGGGAAATTCATATACAGTCTATCTGGTCTATGCAAGAATGAACAAGTGAGTGTGAAAATTACCATTGTAAGATATTTTGTAATATTGAAAAAACCCACCAAAAAACCCACAACGTACCCTGTAACCGTATTACACATCTAATAAAGCTTATACAACTTAATAAAAAAACTCCAACGTGAACGTGATATAACTTGCCAGCCAACGCACAGCTACCTGGTACATACATATTAATTGTTTACTCCTTTGTAACGTAATATATGAATGAAGTTCTAAAGTTTAAAAACAATTACACCAGCCTCAAACTTTTCTCTGGCCCTAAACTAAAAAATCATGTAATTAATTAATTAGGGTCAGAGAACAGTGAACACTATCCCAGATTTATTTATAAACCAAAAAAGTAAGTTTTGCCATCTTATTGCAGATATATCCAAATATTTGTATACCCCGCTTATTGTTTCCTCCTCTTCTGATGATATCAAAACTCGTTTGGAGTATACACCAACTGGTATACACTCTATTAATACTGTATAGTATACGTCCCTAAAAATTATGAATTATTTATAGTTAATTGTCGAACCCTGTCTGTAACCACGTGGGTCCTTGTGAGAATGCATATCACATCCTATTACCAACAACTGAGGCTTGAATTCGCCGAAACGCTTCAAAATTAATAAGAAACAAATAGGGACCTATCAGTTCATGTAACAAATATTTGTTCACATAAACAAATGAAGAAATATTTCGAATGCGCAAAATTATAAAGGCCTGCAGTAGATATAAAAATACTTAATCTTCTTTAATTTCTATAAAAAAACATTTTGTGGTTAATTGTTTATTTTGTTGTGAAATATTTTTTACATTTTGCCTAGTTATGTCAATGTTGTCGTTATATTGATTAGAGGAAAGAGCGTTGAAACCTGTGCCAAATCATTTTGGTTTAATATTTAGCAAATAAATTTAAAAAAATCAAGTAGAAAAGGATGTGTTCAAAACGTTTATGATTTTTCTGTCGCGTGAATAATTTTAAAAGACGAAATACTCACCAATATCAGTAAAGTAGACTATAATTCAAGCTGGACAACGCCTTCTCGTTATGTATGTCCGCTCTTTTAACTTTCCAAACCTACAACAGACAGGAAACTCGATATAGATACCATACAAGGAAGTAATATAATGTCGCGCGGGGCAAACGATATCAGTCTCTACGGAGTTCTCCCCCTTGTAACACAGGCGACTGGTAGATATCCAATAAACTCAACACTAAACCTCACGTGAAGCACGTTCATTTAAACCAATTAATTAATAATGAAGTTTTGTTTTAATGTGGAGCTAAGTTTCAGTCTTAATTAAATAAGAAACTATATTTTGAATCCAACAACATCTCCACACTAAGTCCTTCTAACTACAGAATAAAATGTCAACGTAGAAAAAATAAGTTGAATTCTTTGTTTAGGAACCATGCAATCACTGGCTTTCTTTACACAAAAATTGGATATGATATACACATTTAAATTTTTATTTATTATTATATTTCAGAAATGGAAAGCATGATCTACTCCCTTGGTGGCTTCGAACATATTTCGTAATACGACTTTTGTACATGCATGTATCATCGATATGTGTGTCCTTTTCTATAGAACAAACACATATACATTTTGTTTTACAGGTAACAATGAAGTCAATCACTGTGAAGTTTACAGAGAGCAGACAGGATAAAGGGTGGGAGGGAGAGGGGGGATAGGGGTACTAATGATACATGTATAACCATCGTTTCCGATGCTGTCTCTTATGATGTATGTCATTTTGTCGTATTCATTGTAATATACGGTATTGTTATCACGTATGTCATTGTACAATATGCATCACATTGTATTTGACTGTTATTGTATACATGTATCATTGTAAATTTTTAATATACTGTACTATTTGTATGTCTACTCTCCGATGTGTCTTACACAAGGAATACAACAATCTGAATCTGACACAAGGAAGAAACTCCAAGAGGTCAGGATTTCATTGTTCACTCAGACACACATGCGGGTGTAACAAGAGGTCTCAGACAATCAGCAAATTTTACACATGGCAGAACACATCAGCAGCATTATATAGTTATTGTATACAATTTCACATGATGTATTCAAATCTAATCTATACATTTAGGATTTTTTCATTTTTTTCTACAAACCTAATAACATGGGATTCAACACGAACATTACACAGAGAAAATATCCCTTTCATTTTTTTCAAACTGTACAGTAAATAATTCGGAAAGTATAATTGTCATTTTCTACGGTGGTACATTTAGGACATGCATGATATTATTTTCTACCTTAATTATATCGGGCGCTTAATATGTCGAGCACTCATGAGATAACTAAGATAGAAAATAATATTATGCATGTCCTAAATGTACCACCGTAACTAACAGCACACATTTCGAGATTATAATTTCGTCACCCCAAATCTTTTCTCTAAAGACATTTGCATACATGTCAAGTTCCTATTTTGAACGGAAACTCACAAGTATTTTAATTGAGTCTCTGACCTTTGAAATTATATTTTTTTTTAATAAAAATGATTCATTGAATAAAGTGTACAAACCATAATATATTTGAAACTCTTGAGCTCTGGCAAATATTGTTCATTGTAACTATTTTCCCCTTCATTTTCAGATTTTTTCGGGAGCGTTTTTCCCCAATGAAAAATTGGAAAAATTCGCATGAACATATTCGCAGGGACCTACTAATTTGTTACAGCTATAAGTTTGTACCTAAACTTAGATGTTCAAAGTAAATTTACACAATTTAGGGGTTAAGATCCATTTTCGGTAGAAAGTTCACCCAATGACGATATTATCACTCGAATATACCGAAAGTCAATGTAAACCCCTTTTACTCTGAACCTCTGAACACTCTAGAATAAGTCCAAATATAGCAGTAACGAATTCTCAGGTCCCTGTGTGCGTTAGCAATTCAGTGCAACGTTTTTATATTTCTATACAACTATTAGTGCTCCATTCAGCTGTATAGTCCATTAATCGTACAAAGTAAGATATTTTTTTTGTGTTTGATAAAAGGAAGTTGTTTTTGTCGTTTACCATGCGTATTCGGAAAACTCTCAAGAGTAACCGAAAGTTGAGTGCACGAGCTAAATCACATGAAATCTAGAACGCTCGTCGTGACCGTACAATTGCGCGGCTAACAGTGAATGACCACGAACAACTGAGTATAGAAAATTAACAAATTTATGGAACACGTAAGTTTATGACTTGTTGATGTCTAACGCTATCAATCTATATACTACTGGTGAGGTGAGGGTGACAGGGCGGATGTAAGTAGCGGTAACTATGTTAGTAGGCAGATTTATGTGAGCTGTCTCAATATCGGCACGCGTGGAAATTTGGCAGCGAGTTTAAGTTTATTTTCAGAGTTTCAAAAATATTGTTTTTCCAAAATTAAAAAGGCACACAAATTGCTACACGTTGAGAAACCTTTGGTTATACGTGCTTTTCATCTTCTTCCACATACGCCCCCCCCCCCTCCTTCTTTTAGGAACGTTCAAAACGACGCAAATGAAAATCGTTATACATGCATTATTCCGCAGTTGACTTGGCTTCATAGGCAAGCAAATATAAAGACCAGATTCTGGAGCTCTGTAATGGACCTTAATTTTTTCACATATACTCGTCAATAAAACGCAGTCCTGTTGGATTGTCTCTGGACTCCACGAGAATTCCCAACCCTTCACTATTGATTGTTAGATTATTTTGGAACAAGATGGTTTTCAATTTGTTTCTGGAAGATACACCAAATGTAATTAATTGAAAATAACAGCTTCAACAATGGAACTTTACACTCCTTTATAAGCATTAAAATGTTTTTTAATCTTGCAGTTTTAAATATTGTTGTCCCTATGCAGGGGCGTTACTAGGATATTTGAAAGAGGGGGCCCCCGTAGAATCAAATTTTTTGGACCTTTTTTTTTGCTAAAAAACATAAGATAATTGTGAAATGCACTAATGTAGCGGTTCCTGACTTGGAGCATGTATATTTTATAGTTAAAGTGTCAGGGTGTCAGTATAAAAAGAAATCGCAGTATGTGTTTAATTAATGAATATGATAAATTGCCATATTCAATACAATATTAGCAGATTACGATATTTATTTTTTATTTTTTGAAAAGGGGGGGCGTACGCCCATTACGCCCTCACCTGGACCCGACCCTGCTATGGTCAAATATAACATACTGGATATCTCATGTGGCTATGGGGCTACATATCATACCATATTCATTTTACCTATGCTGCTGTCATTCATTGAGATTAATATCTTGAAAGGGAAGTAACTCCAGGTCTAGGCCATAACAAATCTGTATTGTTGCTTCATAATCTATAAAGAAGAAAACTCAACGTTTAAAAATATCTCTGAAGTGAAACTGTTTTTCACAATTATAACTAGTGCAATGGGTCCCTTTGCCTTGTAAATTGCACTAGTTTTTTTTAGCTCATTCACCCCTGGAATTTCATAATGAACTATTCCAACCATTAAATTGAAAGAGTTCAAATGTGTCTTTAGGGGTAAATGAGTTAATATCAATGGATTTGTTAATGTAAGATTCCTTAAATGAATACGGGGCAGTTTTTAGAAACAAGAAGACTAGACACTATTCATGACCACAAAATCATGAATTTTGTGATGACATTTGAATTTGAACAAGTTTACTGCTCTGACATCATTTAAGATAAGAGTCCCACTACTTTTCTACCTTTACAGACCATGAAAAGTTATTGTTAAATTTATATTATTTCGTCTCTATTTTAACAAAGGTATAAATATGTTGCAATAATTATGTTTGAATAACATTTCTGCAACATATCAGTAACTAATTGATATGATGCAGTTGTTTTTTTGGGAGTTAAAACAAAATTAAAATTTAGAAAATATTCCTTGTAATGTTGTAGAAAAGTGATCGCATAAAGAATACCATGATCAGTAGAGATGTAGACACACTCTCCACTTTAATCAAGATGTCTTAGGTGATTAAATATGTTTGGAGATGTTTTGGTGAGAGAAGAAATTATGATAGATATCTTTCTTTCACATGTATGACTTTTGCTGTAGCAAATGGGTCTGCAAAATGCTGAACAAATTGGAACTCTGGTCATATACAGAACACAGAGCTGGAACTCTCTACTGAAACAGTACAGATTTATAAGTAGGTGCCATTCAGCTATGTTTATTTAGATATAGGACCCTTTACCAGAACTAGAAGTCTCAATATGCCATGTTTATTAGGAAGCAAACCTCATAAATAACCTAAATTGATGTAAATATTTTGTAGAACTGGCAAAGGTGTACAATGGCGGACTTCACTCAAGTGCCCTCTGGTGGTGGCTGAAGTGGCAACAGTAGTATTAGAGGAGAGTTTGTAGTGTTAATGGTAAGTAGTTCATTCAATTTACCAAAGAATCCACAGCTTTCACACAAAATGTGTCCAAATAATCATTTTTGAAATTTTCTTCATCCAGGTAACTTTCAAAGAATTGTGGAGCATGTAGGTGCTTTAAGAAAAGTCGTGAGTTCATTTGGATATGAAAATGAATAATTTTCAGGTTTTCATGCATAAATTAAATAAAATTTATATTTTAATTTTTGGTTGTTAAACTAACTAGGCTTCTCAAGTGGGACATGGCAGTTTAATGTAGGTAGAAAAAGACAGATGGTACGTTCTTCGTTGGTGCCATAGGCTTGCCCAATGATACTACAGAATATTATTATCGGAACTAAATATTTAATTTGTGTACAAATAATAAATGCCAACATTATCTCCGTAGTTAACCTAGGGTTGTTATGTATACCGTCATACTTTATGAGGGTATTCAATATATACTTGACTGTTTGACGTGGAAAAAACAAACATTTAAAATTTAATGTTGTCACGAAACGTAACGAATACTTCCTGTGAACTTGGTGGAAACAGAGACTACAAGTAAACTTGTTTGTAATGGGACTAAAGATAAATTTGTGAATTTTTTGTTGTTTTCTGAATACGTGTACAACTCATCATTCCTGAGCAATTGCAACAGCTAAGCTCATATGGAGGACTGAGGTGCCAACACCGCCAAAAGGAGACCGCAGGGAAGTGAGAAAACAAACAATATAGATCCCACGTGTTATAATCAGGGCAGGAGATAATGTGTTTTTTCAGCGTGTCTAAGCAGAAGACACAACACAAAACTTCCAACTCCGCTGGGGGTGTGTGGGGAACTCCGCTGGGGGTATGTGGGGGCACACTTTATAACATGCAGTGTTATACACCAGAGAACTAATGTTAAAGGAGGCATGGTAGTCTAGTGGTAGGACGTCGGGCTTGTGACCGAAGGGTTGCTGGTTCGAATCGCGGCACTGTTTTGTATCTTTGAGCAAGATACTTTACTCCGCTTGTTCCAGTCTACTCAGCTGTAAATAAGTATGTGGTTGGGTAGTGCTAGAATTGTTGAATGCTAGCTGTGAGCGCTGAAATGGCAGCACTGGCTGTATGCTCCCCAGGGAGTTGAGAAAGATGTTAGCTGGATGCAAAGGCCCTATAACCACGGATAATAGTTTTTTAACCACTTTGAGACGACCTACAAACTAGGTTGTAATTAAGCGGTATATAAGAACCTCCAATTATTATTATTATTAATTATTAATAGCAGACTGGTTAACTTGTAGCTGACGCCTGATGAACTTGCTTGTAATGGGGAAAACACTTGTGAAAATGTTTTATAAAAATAACATTTTTTTATCAATATACATGTAATTAAATAAAAACAATTCAAATATCAATAAAAAAATGTATGTAAACCTGGTAGTGGGTTAAACTTCTCTAACAAGTATCTGTCATATGTTGATAGTGAGTAAATTAAACCGAACAAAACGGGACGCTAAGTTTATGTTTCAACACACAATTGAAGCCATTAAATGTCCTCTACGTATTCCATCTTTTCGTATTACAGAGTTATCTTCTCTTGTGAGCAGGTATTGATTGTTACGTCCTTAGTTTGTGAGAAAATTACGTTGTTTTCTAAAATATTGATGACGTTACTCTCTCAAACAAATGACATAACAATCAATACCTGCTCACAAGAGCAGATAACTCTGCAATACGAAAAGACAGAATTTTGACATCATGTGGTACATCTAAACAGAACAATGCTCTTCTGTTTGACCTTTACTTCCGCTTTGACTCGACAATGATTTTTTTTAACAATTTATTAATTCAAGCGAAAGATTTGTGATTATCAAGATAACGTATAATATAGCCTGGTTTTTTAAATGTTGTTTGGTTGTCCTTGAAAAACAAGAATCCACACAAAGCTTGTAAATACTTGCATCTGTACTACTCAAATCAAGCCCCTTTAGCTTTCACGCATGTAAAGCCACATATCTAATTAATATTTTGCAAGCATATATGTGTTTACAGATGGGTATTTTCAGTCTATTTACTGGTAGGCCATCACATGGAACCTTTCAATGTTTTATTTTTAACTTTCTTATTTTCAGTGAGTAATAAAACGTGTATTCAATAGTTACCTCAATCTGTTGTTGAGCTACTAAACCTGGGTACATAAAGACACAGATATAAATATGTAGTCGGGACACCAACATTATTATCTATTTGAATATTTTTTTGCAATATTTATCCAATTATTTAGATCATATTTCATAACAATGTATAATGGATATGAGATTCAGTAATTTAGAAAATTCTTTATGGACAGTAATGATATGGACAGATTGAAAAAGGCCAAGGCAAACAACAATAATGTTTCCTGTAACCCTTTCTTTCCTGATCAAAACCTTTTTGGTAATTTCTTAAAAGATATTTGCTGATTTTGAATTATTTTTAATTAGTTGCAATATTGAACAAAACAAGTTGATTTGCATGTAACTTCCTCTGGGTAAAAATGCCAGGAAGGTTGCTTTTCAACTCGCAAATTAGCAATCAAGCCTAATACCTATTTAGATTGGCCAGGAAATTTCCACGTTTTTTAAACCTGTACTTTTAGTACATGTATTATAATATCAAACTTAACTATAAATAATGCTCCCACACCACTGACATTTATACTGAATTAATAACTGCTAAAGTTACCACGTTATTATTGAACAGAACAGATTTCCAATTTGAATGACAGTATTGGGTAATAAATTGAGTTGAATACTTCAGTATGTCTTTATTAAATTTCAGTCCCTTTTTGAAAACAGGTTTCTGTCATAAATTCATTTAATTGAACCCCACAGAGAAAAACAAATTCTCTGGAATCAAATTTCTTACAATTTGAATTTATCATCAATGTCATAACCTTAATATTATAATCAAACGATCTCAAGTTACCTTAAGTAATGCCTAAATTGAACGAGAGACGTGCACAAAGAAATTGAGGTTTTCTTGGGTAGAAATTTTATATTTTCTTTTCAAATTTTTCCTCACATAAATCAGCTAAATAAATTTGATCGATTAATTTACAAGAGTTATTGCCCTTGTTTTGCTTAGTGGCTATCAATTTTGATCTTCAGTTTTTATTGTGAAATTTAGAAAATTTGAGGACAGTAATTTTTACTTTAATATACGACACCATAAAATATGGATTCCTTCTATTTTTTAGCACTATTTTCATAATTTGCCTGTAACTATGAATAACATATAAAATGTTGAATTTACTATTTATAAGACAGTCTTATTGGTTATAACACAATTCAAATTTTAACTGGATGCTTTATTATATAAACTTAATTTTCTTATAAAACAAACTTTTCCAACTTATATGAATCACTGTTGTTGGCTGGAATGGAATTGCACAGGGTATCTTGATAACTCGATTTATTACGATTTCTAATGAATGCAGGCTTATTCCGTGTTTGCGTATTGCAGAGTTATCTTCTCTTGTTAGCAGGTATTTATTGTTACATCATTGGTTTGTGAGAGTAACGTCATCAATTTTTGAGAAAACGACGTAATTTTCTCACACATACCAATGACGTAACAATCTATACCTGCTCACAAGAGAAGATAACTCTGCAATAGTTTGCAAAGACGGAATAGCCTCTATGTCAACATTAGATACATTTAAGAATTAAAAAATACATTACTTCTGGTTCAAATTTTAAGGATTAATTGTTCATTAGTATGACAATCATATTTCCAGTGTTCATCTAACAAGATTTCAAATTGCTTAACAGTAGAAGCATCAACATTAATAATGAGCCTAGGTTAACTAGTCAACTTGTCAACTGCTTGAAAACCAAAACACTTTTTTCTTCCATCTAGACGGCAATGCTTTTTAAAAATTCAGAAATTAAGTTGTAAGCTGAACAAGGGCTATGCAAGTTTTATGCGGGGATACAGGATAAAATGACTCCAGAAGAATTGGCTTAGACTTAACCTGAGCATTCACACTCACATATTTTGAAAGTGTTGACCGAGTCCTGCAATTGCACCATGACGTTATACAGTGAATTAATACACCAAATTATATTATTTTTATATTAATTGACTTGACAGAGGTCATTATGTTTTCAATGTCTCTGCTAGGAGTCGAACAGTGAACCTCTGGTTTACAAATCGTACATAAGCTAAAGAGAAATTCTTGGTAACCAGGTCGGTAGGTAGCGGGTAGTATTTTACCAAGGTGACATACTCCTCTCCAGGGAAGAATCTGTCTACAACACTAAAGTGTTGCTGGATTGGTAGAGGAACAGGATTTACAGTATAAGTTTTATATATTCAAACCAGTCTTAATCTGATTCCCGAGTTTCCTGACACATGGTTTAATCTAACAAAGTAATATCAACCCATTTCTTATACCTGGTAAAAATTACAAATGAGGCTATTGTGTGTGAGAGCTTTGGTCATTTAAGGATGAGTCATGTTATAGTGGTGGCAGAAAACTGGAGTACCTGGAGAGAAACCACTGACCTGCTGCCAGTACATGGCGACTCCCCTCCAGCAGCCCACTTGAACTCATTCACCCCGAATGACACATTTTAACTCGTCCAATTCAAAGGTTGGAAAAGTTTATTATGAAATTTCAGGGGTGAATGAGTTAACCACTCGGCCACAGCAGCCCCAGGCTAGTGTGTAATCTGACATACATTTTCCCTATAATGTGAGTTAGACAGCTGTCTTATTGGTTTATAACTTACCTCAGTAAACTTGTCATCAAGTGATGTTCAGAGTAATATCCAAAACAATCTCAACAACATTGTATGGTTATACATCAGGGATTTAGGAAGGAGAAACAAAACAACCTTGACATTTATAATAGATATTTAATATTATAAACACTATTGCTGATGTGTTTAACTGTTATCAGGCATGTCGACATGACCTCCTATATATACAGTACACATCCTAGTGACAGCACTGAGGAAGGTGTAGGGGTGGGGTATAGATGA